ATCTAAAAGTCTCAATTTCAAAACACTCTCTGTGGCCAACAATTCTAGGCCAACAAATACTAGGCCTCTGAACTCCCAGATTTGACCAGCTATCTGTGCCACAGTTAGTCGTTCATTCCTAAGGATCAATATCAGACAAAAAACATCCATATAGTAAAAACCAAAGACAGCATGCTTCAAATGCTAATGGTAATTCAGACTAGCAGTATGTATAAAAACCAACCAGCCAGACTTCAGAGGTATCTTCTTTTTAAAAAATTTTTAAGGTTTATTTATGTTTGAGACAGAGAGAGAGAGAGCATGAATGGGGAAGGTCAGAGAGAGAGGGAGACACAGACTCTGAAGCAGGCTCCAGGCTCCGAGCTGTCAGCACAGAGCCCGACGCGCGGCTCGAACTCACAAACTGTGAGATCACGACCTGAGCCGAAGTTGGTCGCTCAACCGACTGAGCCACCCAGGTGCCCCCAGAGGTATCTTCTAAGCAAACAGAATTCCCTCTTCAAGCAGACCTCAATGCAAGCACCGCGTGTTTTATTGAGCTTCACTTTGTTGTGCTTTGCAGGTATTGTGCTTTTTTACAAACTCAAAGTCTGTGGCAACCCTGCTTTGAGCAAGTTTACTGGTGCTAATTTTCCAACTGCATTTGCTCACTTCATGTGTTCATGTCACATTTTGGCACTTCTCGTCATATTTCAAACTTTTTTATGATTATTGTGGGTGATCTGTGATCAGTAATCTTCGATGTTACTATTGTCATTGTTCTGGGATGCCACGAACCACACCCATGATGATGGGGCACCTAACTGAACTAACTGACAAATGTCGTGTGTGTTTTGACTGTTCCACCAACCGGCCAATCCCCTATCTCTCCCCCTCCCTTGGAGCCTCCCTATTCCCTGAGAAACAACAATACTGAAATGAGGCCAATTAGTAACTGCACAATGGCCTCTAAGCGTTTCAGTGAAAGGAAAGACTCACACATCTCTCGCTTTAAATCAAAAGCTACAGGTCATGATCTCGCGGTCTGTGGGTTCAAGCCCCGCGTCGGGCTCTGGGCTGACAGCTCAGAGCCTGGAGCCTGCTTCGGATTCCGTGTCTCCCTCTCTCTCTGCCCCTCCCTGCCCCTGCCCCGTTGCTCTCTGTCTCTGTGTCTCAAAAATGAATAAACGTTAGGGGCGCCTGGGTGGCACAGTCGGTAAAGCGTCCGACTTCAGCCAGGTCATGATCTCGCGGTCCGTGAGTTCGAGCCCCGCGTCAGGCTCTGGGCTGATGGCTCGGAGCCTGGAGCCTGTTTCCGATTCTGTGTCTCCCTCTCTCTCTGCCCCTCCCCCGTTCATGCTCTGTCTCTCTCTGTCCCAAAAATAAATAAAAAACGTTGAAAAAAATTAAAAAAAAAAATGAATAAACGTTAAAGAAAAAAAAATTTTTTTTTTTAAAAAAGCTAGAAATGATTAAGCTGAGTGAAGATGGCATGCCAAAAGCTGAGACAGGCTGAAAGCTAGGCCTCTTGCACCAAGCAGTCAGCCAAGTTGTGAATGCAAAGAAAAAGTTCTCAAAGGAAATGAAAAGTGCTACTCTAATGAACCCATGAACGACAAAAAAGTCAAACGGTCTTATTGCCCACACGGAGAAAATTTTAGTGGTCTGGACAGATCGAATCAGCCACAGCACGCCTTAAGCCAAAGCCTAATTCAGAACCAGGCGCTGACTCTTCAGGTCTATGAAGGCTGAGAGAGGTGAGGAAGCTGCAGAAGGAACATCTGACGCCGGCAGAGGTTGGTTCATGAGGTTTAAGGAAAGCAGTCGTCTCCACTACACAAAAGAGCAAAGTGAACCAGACAGTGCTGACTGGAAGCTCAGGAAGTTCTCCAGAAGGTCCAACTAAGGTAGTTAATGAAGGTGGCTACACTAACCAACAGATTTTCAGTGTAGACAAAACAGCCTTCAATTGGAAGATGCTGCCATCTAGGACTTTCAGAGCTGGACAGAAGTCAATGCCCGGCTTCAAAGCACAGGCTGACTCTCTTGTTAGGGGTAATGCAGCTGCTGACTCTAAGCTGAAGCCAGTCCGCAGCAAAACTCTTAGGGCCCTTAAGAATTATGCTAGATCTACTCTGCCTGGGCTCTCTAAAGGGAACAATAAAGCCTGGATGACAGCAAATCTGTTTACCACATGGTTTGCTGAATATTTTAAGCCCCCTGTGGAGACTACTGCTCAGGAGAAAAAGATTCCTTTCAAAATATTACTGCTCACTGACCATGTACCTGGTCACCCAAGAGCTCAGATGGAGGTGGACGAGGGGATTAGTGATGTTTTCACGCTGCTGACACGACACCCATTCTGCAGCCCATGGATCAAGGAGTCATTGTGGCCTTCAAGTCTTAGTATTTAAGGAATCCATTTCACAAGGCTGTAGCTGCCATAGATAGTGATTCCTCTGATGGACCTGGGCAAAGCAAATTGGAAATCTTCAACAAAGAAGTCACCCTTCCAGGTTCCACTAAGAACATTCATGATTCATAGGAAGAGGTCAAAATATCAACATGAACAAGAGTTTGGAAGAAAGTAACTCCAACCCTGATGGAAGACTTGGAGCAGTTCAAGCCATCTGTATGGGAAGTAACTGCAGATGTGGGAGAAAAAGCAAGAAAACTGAAATTAGCAGTGGAACCTGAAGACGGGACTGAATGGCCGCCACCTCGATAAAACCTGACGAGGAGATGCTTCTTATGGATGAGCAACGAAAGCTGTTTCTCGAGCTGGAATCTACTCCCGGGGACGATGCTGGGAAGACTGTCGAAAGGACAACAGAAGATGTAGAGTGTCACATAAACCTAGCTGATCAAGCAGCGGCAGGGTCTGGGCAGACGGACTCCAGTTCTGAAAGAAGTTCTATTGTGGGTGAAAGGCTATCAAACGGCATCACCTGCTACAGAGAAATCATTCATGAAAGGAAGAGCCAATCAATGCCGCAAACTTCATTACTGTCTTATTTTAAGAACTTGCCACAGCCACCCCACCTTCAGCAGGCACCAACCTGACCATCGACATGGAGGCAAGAGCCACCAGAAAGATTATGACTCACTTAAAGCCCAGGTGATGGTTGGCGTATTTTAGCAAAAGTAGTTTTTAATTAAAGTACGTACGCTATTTTTTTAGACATGAGGCTATTTCACACTTAATAGAGTATAGTGTAGTGTAAAACATAACTTTTATATACACTGGGAAACCAAAAAATTCATTTGACTCATTTTATTACAATATTTGCTTTATTGCAGTGGTCTGGAACCAAACCCACAATGTCTGAGGTATGCCTGTATATTCTATTTTAAGAAAGACGCCTGTAAACTGCATTTCCCAAGCAGAATTAACTACAAGAATAATTAGAATTGCAGCAAAATGCATTTAATCAGGAAAGTGCTATCGAACAAAGAACATCTATAAACAGAATGTACTCCCAGCTAGGAAAAAAAGAAGGGAGGTTATCCTATCTGCAAAGACATACACACAAGCAATATACAGCAAATGACTCTGTTAGATACAGGAAGATAAGCCAAAAGAAAGCGGCTAAGAAGAAAATTCCAAATATCTTGGAGACTATTTCTATAGTCAGCCATCAAAGGCCGGACAAGGATCATTACTATCCCCACAAGAGGGAAGTCAGGCAGAGGGCAACCACAGCTATTTGACATTTCTCTTAAGACCCAGAATTGCTTTTTCATGCCCTGCCTTCGGAAATCACAAAACACCACCACCAGAAGAGCTCTGTAACAGCCAGAGACTTAAGAATAGTCAGTCCAAGAGGCTACTGACAGCTTCCGAACTGTCATCCCCACTGAGGGCGTCATTGCTGTGATGGGGATCCTGCATCCACATCTCATTGAACTGCGTGACCCTGAGTGAGCCAGAGTCTTTCCAAGTCTTACTTTCCTTAGCTGTCAAGTGGGATAATAATAGCTACTTTCAAAGGTTTCATGTAAGGATTAAAGATAACGTTTGTAAAGCACCTACCAATGTCTGACATATAACAGGTGCTATAAATGTTAGCTACGGTTACCAGCAACAGCATTCTAAATACCATTCGGGTCCATTTTATCCACACACAAAAAACTGTTGTCAAATTTACTAATGATTTGCTTTGTAAATCATTTTTGTTTTGCTTAAGAAAATACTGAAAAACAAGGAGAGATGGTAGGGTATCCTCACCTTCTTACCTACAACACTGGATCAGGTTATTGCCCCAGGAAGTTGATCTCCCATGTAGATACTCCTACTCCTACATTTCACTAAGACCTTAAGCTTGGTTAGAAAAGAGTGAGCCACAGTGTTATCCTAAAATGTGGCACTGGCAAAGAAAAAAGGCATTTTTTTAATTATAAGCTCAAGAAATCAAGAATATGAGTGTAATTTATTACAATGAAAACTATAATATATGTATTTATAATTATAATTATATATATAATTATAAATATATACATATAAACTTCCACAAGGTATCAATTTAGCCAAACAGATACCCTCATTGAACTGGATTTCTTTCATCTCTCAAGTGTTCAAGGAGGGGAAAAAAACCTATTTGAAGATACGAAGCTCTAAGAAGACCTCATTTTTAAAGCAATGACTTTTAGAGGACATTCTACAAGCAGAACAAGTCACTATAACCCCTTTTACTTTATACATTTATACTTTTAAACAGAGAGCTGATGTCACACACAACCCTGAGTCACTCTAAGAATCAACAAATTATATTTCCTAGGCTGAACTGAGGCAGAAAAGGTTAGCATATATTTTAGAAATAACTTCTAGACTTTAAAACCATTTCCTGCCTAATCCTCAGTTAATCAGAACATGAAATTAACTGTAACTCACTCTTTTCCAAACAAAATCATGTTGACCAAGACTGTAATGTATTCTTAGAAGGCTTTGAATTCATACTGAGTCCTGTCCAAATTATTTTCATTCCTACAAGTCATGTACAGACACAAACGTTAACACTTACTCAGATTTGCTGCCATGGATTCTAAATCTGCTATTAGACCTGGAAGCTGCTGTAGCTGCTCCTGTAACTCGATGAGGCTCGTCTTCTTTTTCTCCCAGTGTGCGGAGAGCATAACCACCTCACTGTCCACCAGCTGCAACACAGAGGAGCAAGAGTAAAGCAAAACCCGGTTTCAGGCACAAGGAAATGACAGTCAGCACAATGAGAGTTGCTCAACGTTAGCTTTAAAAACCCCTCTGCTGGTGTCCCACAACAGGCCAACCTAAAGAAAACTGAAGTTGTTTTCTTTCTTAGAAAAGAACCAACTTAATATTCAGTGCGGAAAACCTCAAATTACTGTTGGTCTCCGTGCATCTTTACCCGGAGAAGACAAAGTTCAGAAATGACCTCAGAAATCACTTCTAAGTACACCCTACTTTTGAGTAAACTATGTATTTGAAAATCCAAATCTAGAAGGAAAATAAATCAAAAAACCAACACTAACAACCAAAAGGAAAACAAAAAACAACCCGAAACACAATTACCGGGTAATTATTTGCCTTAAAAAAGGAATTTTTTTTTAACAGAAAAGCTCCTTGATGCCTTTATAACATATAGGATTCAATTTACATTTAAAGAGGAACGTACTGCATAAAGTAAGGTCAACAGTACTTGTCTAGGAAGGAATGATTGAGGCAAGTGATCAATTCCAGAAAAAGGAGAAAAGGATGTATGTCAACAAGGAATTCAGATATGAAGGGCTCCTAATAGCATGGCAGTGACATACTAGACCGGCCTAAAAGAATTCTAACTTCTTTTACTGCGGACGGTGGAAAAAATGACAGTCATCAGTTTCTCCCAGACAATTTTGTTTTGGTCGTAACATGGTGGGAGAGAGAAGACTTAGGATAAGATTTAGAAGGATCAAGGAGAGGTTATCTTCTGAAAACATCACCAATGGTAAGCAAGCACTGTGAAAGATACCACATTAGTACAGTAAATACAAAGACTGCAAATTCATTATCTAACAGAAAATGTATTTCAATTTTGTCTGAAAATCAGAGTTCACGGTTTAAAAAAAGACAATTTACACATCCCAAGATTAAGATTTTTCAGCAGTTAGAGCACGAATATAACTGTTACTGAATCTCAGTAAAGTAACAGAGAACTTTAGAGAAATAAAATATCAAAACTAGATGCAAAATTATTTGTACGTGGTGCTAGATTGCTTGGGTTTCGACATTTTAACATTCAAGAAATTCTCAACATGGAAACAAAAGAACTAAGCTCAGGCAGAGAGGGTTAGAAGCTGCCTGGTTTCCTCACTCTGTCCCCCAGGCTCGCACACCTCCCCCCTGCTTTTCAGCCCACACTGCAGTGAAGACCACATCATCTCTCCAGACTGAGCTGGAGAGGTGACACCAAGCTTTACTCAAGCTGTACCACTCATTAATTTTGTTTACTTAAAAATGCCTATTGTCGGGGTGCCTGGGTGGCTCAGTTAGTTAAGCACCCGACTTCAGCTCAGGTCATAGTCTCATAGTTTGTGACTTCAAGCCCCATGTCGGGCTCTGTGCTGACAGCTCAGAGCCTGAAGCCTGCTTTGGTTTCTGTGTCTCCCTCTCTCTGTGCCTCTCCTCAGCTTGCACTCTCTCTCTCTCTCTCTCTCTCAAAAATAAATAAAACGTTAAAAAAAATTTTTTTTAAATGCCTACTGCCAACCAGTTTTATAAAGATCCCTAAGAGGAGTCTAAGTAATGCTGAGCAATGTTAATATATATAGCCGTGATGCCAGACTAAGAGAACTGAGGCGTGAAACAAGGATCTGTGTTCATAAAATTTATCCATATAAACTTCTCCTGACCACTCCCTATTTGGGCTATGGGGACACAATGGTGAACGAAACAGAACAAATTCTGCCCACTTGATGCTTATGTCCTGGTAGCAGGTCTCCCAAATTCTTTTAGCTCCGGGTTTTAAACTCTAAAGAAGAAAAAATAATTCCTATATCACGGGCTGACTTGAGGATAAATAATATATTTTTCTAGGTATGTAGTGCATTATTATTTCTTTTTTTTTTTTTAACAAAGTCTGTTAAAGCTTAACTATCCTGGTTAATCAGGTGAATCTGAAAAATCTAGAACAATTTTTTGATATTAACCATGTCTTACTGAAAATTAAAGTGCAGCATAAATATTAAAACAACTACACTCTAGTTCTTGCCTTCCGGAAAACTGAAAATTATATTCTGAATATAGGACATGAGAAATAATATATATAATATAGAAAAAATATATCAGAATACACTAACATGCCATTTAAATTGGGAAGAATGAGAGACTGAACGGATTCAATAATTACGTAATAAAACTAAAACATTTTGAGCATTTTCTGTGTACCAGGCCCTGTGCTAAGCGATTTACATACATTATCTCGCTTAGAGCACACAGCAACCTTATAAACTAAGCACTATGATCACCTCTATTTTACAGAGGAGGAAACTGAGGCGTAATAAAGTTACGTCACTTTCCCAAGGGCCAGAGTGGACTGAGATCAATCCTACAGAATCTGACACTGAAGCTCATGTGCTTAATATTCTAGGGCTTGTGCTACAGGCTGTATGAAAGGAAGAAGTGAAAATGCTGGCAATGAAAAGGTTCTAAAAAAACGATCAACTTGACTTCATGATAAGAAATGATCACAAAAAGGCTAATTTTTCCACCTCTAAATAAAGTTCTGAGTAAAACCAGATCTAACACCAGGAAATCAAATTTAAGCAGGAAGACAAACCCACAGCTTCATTCCAAAATTCCTTCTGTTGGGTACTAAAGGCAGAATGAAGACACTGGAAGGAGAATGCCAACGAATGACAAGACAGCTAATAACAGTACCCAAGTGTATATGAAACTCAATAGTTCAGCGCTTTGGGGGTACATAATTTCATGTGATTGCCAAACAACGTTGTTTGGTAAGCAGGATAGGTGGTGTTATGCGTGCCATTTTATAGATGAGGAAACAAACAACAGAGAGACTTGGTTAGGTGCCCAAGGTCAAACGTGCTAGCGCAGAAACTAGGATTTCCAACACACAGTTCGGTGAAACCACAGAAGAGAGCCACTCTGGACTGCAAAGACAGAGAAGCACGTCTAATTTAACCAGCTTACACTTCAAATTGTTAAACCATGAATCTTAAGGGTTCAATTTGAAGGCAAACAAGTATTTCACAATAATAGGAATAAGAAAATAATGTACTGTCTGACTTTTAAAAACTGCCCTCAGAGTCTAACCCCTAACGTCATTATTAACTATTCATTTATATATTGCTAGAAAGAAAAAAAATTTAAGAACTTGTTGAAAAAGAAAAAAGGTGTAGAAAAGCCTAGACAAACCACAACTGTTCATTTTCTAAGATACCATCTGAATTTTAAGACTATATAGTAAGAACTAGCTTTAAAATTTAAGATGAGTATAAAATAATGTGTCAGAAAAGACTGAATGGTTCCTAAGTGTATTTGCCCCAGCAGGTTGAAACTGTTTGGTTCAAGGCCACCAAAGATACATGAGCGACAGTCTGACAAAATAAACTCATCCTGGGTTAACACCGTGCATATTATAGATAGACGTTTTAAATATTTACGTATGTCTCAACAATACATCAGAGGAATTTAAGATAAATTTTCATTTCTTTTTAAATGTTTTTAATGTTTCTTTATTTTTGAGTGAGAGAGAGGGAGGGAGGGAAGGAGGGAGGGAGGGGTAGAAAGAGGGAGACAGAGAATCCAAAGCAGGCTCCAGGCTCTGAGCTGTCAGCACAAAACCCAACATGGGGCTCGAACCCATGAACCGTGAGATCATAACCTGAGCTGAAGTTGGATGCTTAACTGACTGAGCCGCCCAGGCGCCCCAGTAAACTTTCATCTTTAAAGCTGAGTACTGTATTTCTGGAAAACAACAGAGGTACTTTTGATCAGATGTGGGTCTTACAATAACGCTGTGAATAAATTTAAGAACCTCAAATAGCATGAATTCAACAACGTATCTTACAGGAAATTCGTTCTCCTATATATTTCATTATAAAACACTTTGTACAATCAAAAGAATTATTTGTTAAAGCTCCTCTACAGAATACAGTCTTTGTTGAACACTGTGGGCCTCCCCATGCTGATTCACACAGATGCAGTAGTACACTAATCGTCCCTGCTGTGTGGTATTTGATTTTACGAATAACACTAGAATTTATTCTGTAGATGGGACTGCGTAACTGCCGAAAGTTCTGGAAAAGCTGCTCAAACATCCTGGTACAAGTCTCCCGGTGCACATGTGTATGTCTCACAAATGAGTTACAGCTGCATCCAAGACAGTGCCCTCACCTCCCAGACAGGCTCAACGCGACCTGGGATGAGTAGCCACCTGCCCGGGCCTAGCCACCTCTGATTTCAAGGAGCCTCCTCTGTTTCCTAGGTAATAAATGCAAAGCTGACATTATCAGAGGAAATATGTGCCATACCAATGTTCTCAGGGGAAAGCTTGAGCTGCAATGCTCTGGAAATATCCCCAGGAACAGAACTGCTCTTGGAGACGTATATGCAACTTCAACTCTTACTTAGTGCCAACTCATGCTTTCTAATGCAATCGTGGCAATGGATCTACACCCTCTAGTTCTAGTCGTTCCTCATCATGTTTCTTGCAAGGCAAGAAACCACACTGTCCTCTGCAAATAATGACCATCCACACAGACACTCGAGGCTTAAATTTTTGTTAATCTAATGAGTACAGATTTGTGGTTTCAATTTGTATTTCTCTGATTACTAATCAACTCCAAAACACATTTTCATGTTTACTGGCCACTCTTTTATTTTCTTCTGTAAAATGCCTGGTCATAGCTTTTGCTCACTTTTCTATTGGGTTATCGTCCTCTTTTTATTGGTTTGTTGTTCCTATTTTATGAACACTTGTCCTCTGTATTATGAATTGCTTCACTTTTTCATGGTGTTGTCTAATGAGTAGAACTTTTGATAAAAATTATTAGTATTTTTGGTTGGTACTTTTTATGCCTTCTTTAAGAAATCTTTCTTGGGGCGCATGGGTGGTTCAGTCAGTTAAGCGTCCAACTCTTGATTTCAGCTTGGGTCATGATGTCGACTCATGGGACCAGGCCCCACGTTAGGCTCTGCACTGACAGCATGGAACCTGCTTGGGATTCTCTCTCTCTCCCTCTCTCTCTCTGCCCCTCCCCCACTGGTGCTCTCTCTCAAAGTAAATAAATGAACATTAAAAAGAAATATTTCTCTACCCTGAGGTCTTAAAGGTTGTCCACTATTTTCCAAAAGATGTAATTTCTCTTTCACATTTAACTCTGATGGAGTCAAAATGTGAATGAAGGTCTTCAACTACTTTTACTCTGGAGGTTCTAGCCAGTATAAAAGACATGAAGAAATGGAAGTTGTACACATTAGAAGGGAAGCAACAAAACTTACCATCTACACAAAACAACTCCCGGGCCCACATACAAATTATTGGAAAAGCAGATTTAGCAAGATGGCTGAATATGGGATTGATATGCTGCGAGTCAAATAAATACTTCAGGTTTGGGGAAATTTATCAGGACAAAGAAGTTACTTTCTACAAAAACTTGCTAAATCATTTTACTTTAATTAGATGCTGAATTGTACTGAATCCCTGTGTTTAATTGTATGATATTATACAACTGGTCCGTTATATTTTCTGCATCTGATGGCCACGTATTTTTCTTCTTTAATATATTCACGCGGTCAGTTGCATTTATCAAATCTCTAATGTCTACCTTTTAATCCTGGAATAGGCCTGGCGGACAGGATTTTGGTTTTTACGCATTGCTGGGTCTGTCTGCCAACACAAGCATATGGTGTAGGATGTCCGCCAAAGAATGCCTTTTGTTGATCATCCAGCACTCACAGGACATCCACATGACAATACCAAGTTCCGGCTAATATTTACGTAGGAAAACTTTATATACCAGCTTGACCCCCACTTTAAAACAGTGTGCGAGAAGATGGCCAAATTGTATTTCAAACACAGCTGTTAGAATATCACAACCACGATACAGCATGAGGAGCACATCCACAAAGGAGGTGCATATTGCTGGCGCTGAGAGGGCGCACGACTGCACATAAGCAACGCTTTATTAACAGTCATGTTAAAAGTCTGGTAATCAATCAGAAAACTATGCTTTAAGCACTCTACATCCTAACAGATTGCTCCAGGTATAGACATTTCGCTGGTTTTAAATATAGTTAAGCAAGCTGGTTGAGGGCTGTGGGTGACACGTCGTAACTTTTCCCATTTAGAATACGGGAAATAGACTCCTTGTCAGAGCTTTTGCACGGAACATCTGACTTTCAGAAACTGAAGTTAAGCGAGAGATGAGGACTTTGTTCATAATTTTTATATCTATATTCATGAGTGAGACTGGACCTCAGTGTCACTTTCTCATACTTCCCTTGTTTGGTTTCAGTATTAAAGTTATGTTAGTCTCATTCAGTGGGTTGGGCACAGTTTCCTCTTTTTCATTTGCTACAAGAGTTGGTCTAACACTGAAACGGTAGATTCCCCAAGTTTGATAGAACTCTTCTATCTAACTCTGCAGCACTTTCTGAGCAGAAACAATTTTTAATCACTAATGCAATTTCCTATTCCCTATTTGAATTGCTTCTAGAATTGATTTTGGTAAAAATTTCTAGGATTTTTGCTATTTCATCTAAGTTTTCAAATTTGTCAGAGTTGTTCATAAACTCAATCTTTTTGCTCTCTGTGATAACTGGTAACATTCTCTTCAATTCTTAACATTATTTGTCTCTTGATGAATACCATTAGAGATTTATCTACTATATTAGTCTTTTCTAAGAACATTTCACTTTGGAGGCACCTGGCTGGCTCAGTCGGTAGAGCACACAACTCTTGATCTCAGGGTTGTACGTTCAAGCCCCACGCTGGGTGTAGGAATTACTTAAAAATAAGTAAAACTTTAAAAAAAAAAAAAAAGGAACTTTTCACTTTTAGTTTCTTCTGTATTTTTATATTCTATTTAATTTACTTCTTTTATCTCTATCATCTTTTCCATTCTTTCTTCAAGGCTTATTCTGTTTGCTTTCTAAATTCTTAAGTCAGTTTAGGTCACTGTCAGTCTTTCTTTTTTCTCTATAAAACTTCCATCTAAATAGACTTGAGCAAATTCAACAGCTTACATGTAAATTTTAAAGTTTTCAATACCAGGGTTCCTGGGTGGCTCAGTCAGTTAAGTGTCCGGCTTCAGCTCAGGTCATGATCTCATGGCTTGAGTTCAAGCCCCGCGTCGGGCTCTGTGCTGACAGCTCAGAGCCTGGAGCCTGCTTCAGATTCTGTGTCTCCCTCTCTCTCTGCCCTCCCCTGCTCATGCTCTATATCTCTCCCACTCTCTCAAAAATAAATATTTTTTAAAAACGTTTTTCAAAATAAAGTTTTCAATAATTTTCCTTCTTTGAACCATAAATTAGTCATAATATTTTTTATTTCAAACCTATGAAATTTTCAAAATTGTTTTCCTGTATTGATTTTCAGCTTCATTTGCAGTAGGATCAGAGAATAGTCTGTATGACTTCATTTATACGAAACTTGTGAGAATTGCTTTATAGCTCAGTAAATGGTCAATTTTCATGTGTTCTAAACATGCTGTAAAGAACCTGTACTTTACATTTGCTAGGACAGTGTTCTACATTTGTCCGTCAAGTCAAATTTGTTAATCACATTATTTAAATCTCCTAAATCCATACTTCTTTTATCTTGGTTTTTTTTTTTTTTTTTTCTATCAACTAAGAGGAATGAATTAAAATTCTCTCATTTTGATCACGGATTTATCTGTTTTTTCCCTTGTAGTTCTATTGGTTTTTTTGTATGTTTAGTTTTTCCTATATTGCCTTTCCCTCATTATTTCTAGAATGATTATTAGATAAGCTGATCCATAGGAAACACTAACTTTACAGAGCAAAATTAGTCCAATACTGGTAATCTCACTGGGTTCAACCTAAAGATCTTCTGTAACTATTCTCTACTAACTCCTCTTTCATATTTATCTCCGAGATTCCTCATCTCAGAGATCCCTTCCTTACCTTCGAGATCCCTTCTAAGTAGGTGACTTTCTTTCTTCATTGCTATATTCTTTCTTCAGCTGTATACAACTGCTGTTTAAGCACACACTTTGGATTTTTAATGTCACTGACTTTTTAAAGTCCTGTTTGACAAAGCCTTATTCCTTACTCATTTTTTAATCCACCTTTTACCTCTTTAAAAGACTCTGCATATACCTATTTAACAGTCTATATCCAACAGTGCAATATCTAATGTCCTTTGTAGGTCTAAGTCTTATTCTTTGGTTCTGGTGCCTCTCAAACTTTTCATAATATATCTGTGTGTTTGCTACTTTTTTTTTTTTTTTTTTTTTTTTTTTTTTTTTTTTTTTTTTTTTTTTTTTTTTTTTTTTTTTTTTTTTTTTTTTTTTTTTTGGAGAGGTGGCAGAAAATAAATCTGTAGGAAAAAAAAGAAAGTTGGTCTGTAGAAATATTGAGGGGCCTAGGTTTACACAGTTTCATCCACACAGACTTTGTGTTTGTTTCTGTTGGGTGTCAAAGAACACAGTCACCTGTGTTCCCTTTATTCTTAATTCAGTGTTTCCTCAATCATGCAGGAAGTATGGAGTGGGGCTCCGCACTGATACGAGGCCAAGATGATGGTAACAAATCTAGAAACAGGACTGTATTTTTTCCAAGCTGTTACAAAGACAGATTTCCCTGTTGCCTCCTTTTGTAGACAAGTAGCTTTTTTTCCCCTACCTTAACCTTTCACTGAGGGATACAGCTGCTTCAAAGATTCAGGAGCTGTATGCGTCTCAGACCCAGTTCCCCACAGAGTCTCCTTTCTCCATAAATCTTGAAGCTTTTATTTTAGTATTTGACCCCAGCTTCCATGTTTGTTTGTTTTTTAACCACTCTGATTTCGGTTCCCTTTTTTCTTCTGTTTTTTTTCCCCCCCTTTAGGATCTCCCTTTTTTGTGAGCCTAATGCATTAAATAATTTTTAAAATATCTATCCAGCATTTAAGTGTTTTACAGCTACAGGGCTTTTCAAAGTACCTAGTCTGCCTTACTACCAGAAACCTATATTCCCCCTTGTCAGTAATTTCTAAGAGAAACACTAATGTCTAACTTTCATCACATATATTACTCTTCTCTATGTAACTATTAACAGCTTCCCACATCTAGGTAAGTGGTTAAGAAAGTCAGTCTACATTAATTAAAAGTCAGAATCACAGAAGTGTTTTTATAAAGAAGTCTGACAACCATAGGACAGAATATTTAATCTTGGCTAATAAAGCTATAAGTACGTGTACCAAATACTTTTCATCACAATCACTTTTATACACAATAAAAGTACACTTTATAAAAAGTACAATCACTTTTATACATTATATACTCTACACATAGTGCCTCAAAATAGTTTGTTCCCCTAAGTGAATTGAGGATGACCCCTGAAACTTTTACATTTATTTGGTAAGCAAATTAATGGTTTTAGGCATCAGACTCAACTTCAAAACATTATACTTAGATGAACCAAATATCTCCTTGAGACTGGAGGATAAAAGTCATCAACTCTCTAAGCCTAACTCAGCTTAGATTTAGTTGAGAAAAATTGCAAAAATTTAATTTAGGGAGTTTCATAACTACTAAATTCAATTTCAGATATCCTGCAAGATACTTTAATGCAATTCCAAATTTAATTTCTTAAAATTTAACGCTGCAAAAAGAGATTTTCCCCCCAAGGTTAGCCCATTCTTTACCTCTCCAGCACTTGCGCATTCCTTGGCTCTTCTGTGAAGTGCAGCCCATGTATCTTCATACCTAAAAAAAAGCCAAAAATAATTCTCAATGCAAACCACACATTTAAAAAAAATACTATCTAAAGTTGAACCTGGGGGTGCCTGGGTGGCTCAGTCGGTTAAGCATCTGACTTTGGCTCAGGTCATGATCTCACCGTCCATGAGTTCAAGCCCCGCATCAGGCTCTGTGCTAACAGCTCGGAGCCTAGAGCCTGCTTCAGATTCTGTCTTCAGTCTCCCTCTTTCTC